ATACCAATCACGTAGATTCTTTAACCATGAGTTCTGCCTTCGGCCAACAGATCTTCTTCCTTGAATCTTTCCCTGTATTATGAGTCTCAAAATTTCATATTTTGGTCCCCTCATCACGTGGCCTAGGTATTCCAGTTTTCTGGTTTGTATAGTGGTGATTAGTTCTGTTTCTTTACCAACCCTCTCCAGTACTTCTTTATTTGTAATTCTATCAGTCCATGATATTTTTAATACTCTGCGGTATAACCAGAGTTCGAAAGCCTCGATTCTTTTTAAATTGCATTTTTTTAATGTCCAAGTCTCAGCTCCATATAATAATATTGAAAATATATAACAGCGAATGGTACGTAGTCTGATCTCCAAATTTAGATTTTTTGCACGTTAGGAGTGGCTTCATTCGTATAAATGCTGATCTGGCAATCTCTATTCGCCTGTTTATTTCTACAGTATGATCATTGGTTTCATTGATCAAAGTTCCCAAGTACTGATATTTTTCTACTTGTTCTATCACGTTACCATTGATTGTCAATAGGTGATGTATATTTTGTGGTCTTTTTGTAATTAGCATGTACTTCGTTTTTTTAGCGTTTATAGTAATTCCCATCTCAGCACTATTCATACTCAAGCTTTCGATAAGATGTTGTAGATCCTCTATACTCGTTGCTATGATCACAGTGTCGTCTGCATATCGTAAGTTGTTAATTAATTTTCCGTTAACGGTGACTCCCGCTTCGATATTATTGAGCGTGTTTTGGAAAATTTCTTCAGAATATAAGTTAAACAAAAGTGGCGATAAAACACATCCCTGTCTAACTCCTCTACAGATCTTCATTTCTTCTGAGTGTTGCCCATCAATTTGAACTATGGCACTTTGGTTCCAATATAATGTTTGCACTATATTTATGATTTTACTGTCAATGCGCTTGTTCATAAGTATTGATATTAGTTTTTCATGTCTTACTTTATCGAAAGCTTTTTCGTAGTCAACAAAGCACAAGTGTAGATCAACGTTTACATCCCGACATCGCTGAATCAATATGTTGATGGCAAATAGTCCTTCTCGAGTACCCATTCCATTTCGGAACCCGAACTGCGTCTCGCTAATATCCTCCTCTAGCCTTTCGTATATTCTCTTATGTATTACTTTCAGCAGTACTTTTAAAGTATGACTCATGAGGCTCAGTGTTCGATAATCAGAGCACTCTTTTGCTGCTTGTTTTTTAGGGATGGTTATAAATGCTGACTTCAGCCACTCTTGTGGTATTATTCCCGTATCGTACACAGTGTTGAATAAATCTGCCAATACTTCCAAGTTATCCTCTTTCACTAGTTTTAACAGTTCTACTGGTATTTCATCTAATCCAGCTGCCTTATTGTCTTTAGAGTTTTTGATAGCATATTTGATTTCATCTATCGTAATCTTCTGTCACTCTAACGGATTAAAGGTTTCATTAAAGGATTTAATTCTTGTATTTTCTGCATTTCACCTCTTTCATCTTGTAAAAGTTTCTCTAACGTACTCCTCCCGATCGTCTTAATTTCTCTGGTAAATCTATTAGTAGTACTCCTTTTTTGTCTTTTATGTGTCTTGCGTTTATTTGACCTTCCACTTCTTATTTTTTGTGATTTCTCATATCATTTTGTTTCTAGTTCTTCTATCTCTTTACATTGTTTCATCAAATAGATTTCCTTAGCTGTTTTGATTTTTCCTTAATTATTCATTGTATTTCTTTATACTTCTGTAAATATTTTTCTTTATATTTCCTTCTGTCTTCTATCTGTAGTAGTATTTCTTCTGTCATCCACTGTGTCGATGTATACCATCGACAGCAAAATGCGACTTACAGTCTGCAGCGAAATGTTTTTCAAACTTATTTCAATTTCCCCCACCAAACCCAACAGCAGCGTTCTGTATTCCTTGAACATGTCAACTATGTGTAGGTATCATATTACATGGTTTGCATGGTTTACATTGCATTGGTTTGTTTTTGTTAGCAAGTTGCGGAGCAACAGTCCGGCGCCAGGAACCATTACGTAGTAATTTCCCAGATAAAAAATAGTATTGTGAAAATTATTTTTATTGACTAATAAGAGATGACATCATATGAAAAAGAGCTCGAACGAGTACAGCGGCTAATGATAGACTGTCTCATTGAAGATGAGAGACACAAGACATATATTCTGATTGTGAGAATGAAATTTAAGATGAATACATAGAAGTCAATTCCTTACAAGTACCTTACTTGGTTGGAAAAGATGAAAAAATAAGTGGGCAAAACACCTGCCTTCATAACGCAAGCAGTAAACTGATATTCGATGTAGTGGTGACGAGAAAAAATCGACTAACACATTTCTCGTGTGCTCAAAAAATGTGCTAAATTCATGAGTCTTGAACATTTAACTTGTGTATGTGCAGAGTAGTGTTGCCAGGTCCGATTTGGTTTGAATCAGTACATAAGGTAAAACAAATCGGGATTTAGGGTTGTAGATCGGGACAAATAAACAACCAGGTGTTATAACCTTTATTTAATCCTACATAATAATAATCACACGAAAATTACAAAACAAAATCGTAAAAATTATTTATTTTTTTGTTAATATTAAATTTTTCATTCGATTATGCCGCCTTTAGCAGTGCCTTGTTTTTTATAACATAGATATATAATTCACTTCAAGTCATGCTAAAATTAGTTTTAATTTGAATTTCTGCTTTGACATGTTCGAGTGTCAAACGGTTTAGTCCGCTCACACCAAATTAATTAGCCTGGAAAATACTCTTTTCGCAGCCGCGTTTGATACTTTTATTAAAGCCATAAACGAAAATTTCTTTTGAAATTGAGACAGTCTTGGTTTTCTTTAAAAATGTTATGCCATTTTTGTCGCGGTGTCAAGTCTTGGTTTTGCACTGCTGCCTTCACTAATTCTTTAATTTTACACACTTCTTCATAAAGTTGATCCATGTCGAAGAACGTATAAATTTTTAGATTTTCAATTATGTTGACTATTGACGTATAAATAAAGGAGTCATCCTGGAGAGAAAATGGATGAGTCCAATTTGCTCTCCTTGGAATTGTATCTTGTTTTTATGTAATTTAGAACATTTTTGTACCAAGCACAACAGTCCTTACGACAACAGTCTTTTTTTATTTTAGTAACTTTATTCGCAGTCAACGTTTTAAATAAATTGCTGCACGTAAATCCTACAAATTCATCTTCAATCCTCTACCTCAATTTTTGCTTAGGTCAATCATTCTTTTGTGACCTTCAAAACACAGCAATGTTTCGTTTTCAAGACATACTGCTGAATCTTGACTTTCAGTGCATTTTGGTAAAATGCCAGACAAGGTTCCGTTTCGTCAGAGTTTCTGTCAGACATTTGTCTTCTCCCAACGATATAAAATAACCCTTCAGGATATTGAAAGATTTGGTAGCACGTTTCACGGCAGGGAGAAGTGATGACCATCTCGCCTTAACATGCCGCATGACAGGAACAAATTCAGCTTAGTCGATCACATAAAAATATTTCAGAGCGTCATCTCGTTTTGCATAATATAAAATTGAATTTTCTAAATCAAAATTACTTTTACCTAGCCCAGGACTTGCTTTACACTATTGTGTAAGATGTGTGCAGGACATCCCACTGATAAAATGTTGTCATTATCATAGTGCAATAATTGAAAAACTGAATTGTGGCAGCTAAAGTTTACAACAAATACACAAATACAAACACAAAACTCACAACATGAACAGACGATTGATGAATGACGAATTTCAAATTTCAACAAAGAAGCACGTCGCGAAATTCCCAGAATTTCACTATTTCTGGTATGTTTTATAATATAAGTACTGCGGTTTGACTCTGGTTAAAATTTTGATTTGTCGATATAGTAATTTAATGCGTAATATATTATTTTTGTCTAATGATAATGGCTTTGCATTTTGTTGATTTATTGGAACATTTAGTGTCCCAATCAGGTACAAATCGGGACATGTCCCTAGACCCCTGAAAATTGGGACGTTCCGCGCAAATCGGGACACCTGGTAACGCTAGTGCAGAGTGTTATTCTAATAATATGGTTTAAAGCAATACCTAACCTACATTGTTTATTTTGTAACGTATATTTTTAGTAAAATAAATTTAATAATAATTTATATTGCTTGTTCATAAAAAAAGGTCACATGTACTATATATCACGCTTTTCACGTGCAAAAAGGTGTGCGGACTCATAGTCCGCTGCCACTATCGGTGCACAGAAAACTAGCGCCAATAATGAAAGGTTAAAGATAATATATCGTCGTTGCCGTGGAAAAATCTCCTATGTGCACATTTTCGCGAAAATAAGTTATTATAGCCATATTACAGGAATCTTCCACGCGCACTTTGTAACAAATGTGCTATTTAAATCTGAAATCTGTTATTTTTAATATTAAAAATCTCTTATGTGCACCGTCTACAATAATAATTGCGATAAAACCTCGTATGTGCTTTATTTAACCGAAATTTTACACATGGGAGATTTTGCTACTACAGCGTCCGCGGTAATGCCCGCTATGTGTCGACGTTGGACACATACGCGATTTTAACCCGGCCTGATCTGTCAAATTGCTGCACATTTGAGGTTTGAGATTCGTACTTTTAGGTTAGTTTGTCAAAATAATAATAAAACTTTAGCTCCACTGACACGGAGTTTGTAAAAAGTTGTGTATTTTGATTAGTTTAGTGATTATATTGGCACTGTAATTATACCTGCGACTCAATATTATTAAGGTAAGTGAAAAATATTTTATTTTATCATATTATTTTATGTAATGACTTTGTTTGTAAGCTTTATGGTTTGAGGCTACATGTAACAATATTTTATATAATTATCTTATTCAGTGTTAAAATTACATTAATAATATTAGTTACCTAAATGTTAACATGGTTTTAATAAACTCCTGTAATTAACAATATGCATGTTTGTTAAAATAGGTTTTTTTTGTTCTTGCAGAATATTAGAATGTCTGCTCGAAGCAAAAGGCTTGTTGAAGCTGCATTAAGTAGTCTGGGGACGAAATCAAATAATGAAAAGGATATTATGCAGCCCTGTACAGATATGGGAAATCAAAAAGAGTTAATAAATAATAAAGACTTCATTGAAGAACATAGGTGTAGATCTGTACCTAACGAGATTGGCCAGGAAATTATCGCTGACCAAATTTTATCATCGTTGATGTTACCATCTGAAAATACGATGTTACCAAATAATAGTACCTCAATTTCTGAAGGTGGTTTTGCACAAAATCATACTTTATTAAGACCTGATACTGCTTCATCAGAAAACAATACCCTTAACCAAGGCGAATGGCAGGAATGGGTCGTTAGTACCACTCATGGAATTCTATTCCCAGTTTCTAATACTGAAATGAGGTTAACAAGGACCAGGGTTCGAAAAGGAATTTGTTTCTACAAAACAAATGGAGGTTGCAGAAAACGAAGTAGTGGAAATGGTGGTTGAAGAAAATGAAGTAATTGAAATGGAGGTTGCAGAAAATGAAGTAATGGAAATGGACATCGCAAAAGAATTAGAAATAGTGGAACATGAAGATGAGAAATCGGAAGAAAAAGAAATGCAAGCAGCAAATAATGTGGAGCTAGAAGTTGCAAACGATATATCTGTTTTCACCCAGGAGATTGAAATAGAGAATGGAGGCGAGGAAATTGGTTTGGAAAAACAAGTCATAGAAGATAAATTGTCGCAAGAAGAAGGGACAGAAATTGGTGACCGTAAATCTGTCACCAGCTCTGACAGTGATGGCTCCCTAAGTTTTTTTGATAAACCCATTTCACGCATCAGTAAGAAACGACTTAAAGCCAAAAAGAGACGAGTTTCTGGTTTATCTTACACTGGCTACAAAAAGGTAGAAAATGGCAAAATAGTGCAAGACTGCAAAAAAAATTCCAGATCGGTTAAGCAGCGTTGTGGCCACACTACCACTAGAAAAAATCAGATAGATCATTTCTTTGTAATCTAATATCTGAAAATGAAAGGAAGTCAGCTTTTAAGACATTCTGGAATTTCAGTACTTGGTCCGAAAAGAAAGCGTTTGTGAAAGGTTTAGTAAGTACCAGACATATCCGCAGAAGACGAAAAAAGACAGAAAATAATGCGAAAGAGCTAAAGAAAAATGTAGGTCATGACATATTTTTGCCAAGATCTAATGGGGAAAAAGTGAAGGTTTGTAGGCTGTTCTTCATCAATACATTAAATTTAGGGGAAGACACATTCAGAAGATGGGTGCGAAGAAGCGAAGTTGATACTGCAGCTAGTGAGGATTCAGAAGGAAGTATTGGCGATAAAGGTGTTTCATCTCCTCGATCGAAGAAAAAGCCCAGACTAGAAGGAAGAAAGGAGAATACTCATAAAGAAATGACTGAAAATGTTTCAAGGTGGCTCGAATTACTTCCTAAGGTTCCAAGCCATTACTGCAGAAGCTCTAGTAGTTGTACATACGTTGAATCGACCTTTAGGTCTTTATCACACATGCACAGTGTGTATGAAGAGTGGTGCAAACAAAATACAATTAAAAGCGTTTCAAGAACGTTTTTCTTGGATGTACTAAAAAATAAAATATTAAAATACATAAGCCTCGCAAAGACCAGTGCGATGTATGTTGCGGGTATGAAGTAAAAACAGTTGCTCTAGATGTATATCAGAACCATATCGTGATGAAAAATGAAGCAAGAGAGGCGAAAAATGCAGCTAAATCTGAAACTGATGATTCGCACTTAGTCTTGACTATAGATCTCCAAAGTGTTTTGCTCTGCCCCAAGACTGAAGCTTCAAGAATGTTTTATAAGCAAAAACTTCAGCTTCACAATTTTACAATTTTTGTATTGAATAACAAAGATGTTTCATTATATGTGTGGCATGAATCAAATGGCGGCGTATCTTCTAACGAGTTTACATCATGTATTGTGGATTTTCTTTCATCAAAATTAGATATATACAAAAAATTTACAATTATATCCGATGGATGTAATTATCAAAATCGCAATAAGGTACTAGCTAGTGCTTTAAGCGATTTGGCAATTCAGAAAAATATTTTAATCCAACAGCTGTTCCTTGAGAAAGGCCATACAATGATGGAATGCGACAGCGTTCATGCTACACTTGAAAAATATTTTGTACCTCCCATAAATTCTCCTAGTGACTACATAGCTCAAATGAGAAATGCGCGGCCAAAACAACCTTATAATATTAAAGTTTTGGACCACAGCTTTTTTTTTATTTTGAGAAATTGCCAAGTAATATTCAGTCACTGCGACCCGGAAAGAAGGCGGGAGATCCAACCGTGACTGACCTCCGAGCTCTAGAATATCGTCCTGACGGAGAGATTTTATTCAAACTACGGCATTCCGACCCATATAAGCTACTACCACAACGAAGACTAAAACTTAACGTTATTCAAAGACCAACCCAGCTATATTTACGTCCTATTCCAATAACCGAATCGAAATGGAAATGCCTACAAGACCTTAAACTCGTGTTAGAAAGAGATCATCATAGTTTTTACGATAACCTACCTTACCAGCCGGATAAGAAAACAAAAAATAAACATTAAACTTAGTTAAACCTCCTATGTGTCATTTTCAAGTATATTAAAAACTCGTATGTGTATGTTTTACTTTAAATATTAAAGTTTTGTTTCAAAATTACATTTGCTTGTTTTGTTATTGTGTTACGTCGTTAAGAAAAGCAAAAAAATAAAATTATAACACTATAAAATGTCATTAAGTTGTATTATTTTTACAAAAACGTGTTTTCTTTGTCTCCTGAAAATTTTAGGTTTCAACACATAGCAGATATTTCCACGGCAGCGACGATATTTACTTTAGATCATAAATATTTCCTTTACCTGTCGGTGTCAAAACTGAAGTAGCAACACGTATGATCGTAGTAATTTCTCTACATTTCCTGGGCTATAGCTGAAAGCAAACGAGTATAGTTCACAAAAACTCTACTGAGTATCTACGATTTTCTTTTATCACCTTTTTATTTGCATTTTGTAGGATATTCCGCAGTTCTTTTATGAGTTATATTTGAGGATGTGGGAGTTTTGAGTTTTGTTCCCATCCGTGCAATAAACTTATTGGAGACAATGTTGTTTGATGTCAGAGTAAATGTTGGCATTCTAAATTTTGAAGTAGAACAATCTAATTATTACGGATCAGATATTCTTTATTATTATATATGATTATCATCACTTGAAAATTTAAACTCCCAATTTTAAGTGGTAACAAGATATTATATACATATATCTAATACCTATATATAAGATGTTTGCATTTACCAAGCAAGAAATAGACTAGACTTTTTCTTCCAGAGCCGGCTTTTAATTTTGAATTGATCGATTTATTCATTATTTTGTCTGTTACTACAAATTCACTTATAAACAAGGGCAGATACACTGGGCAACCCCCACCCCCGGAGGTACACAATTTAAAAAAACCTATTCCTTATATCGTTTGTGAAATGGAAAATTGGAAGAAAAACATGACCACTTTAACATACACAAACTCGTTAAAGAAGTGACAGGCATACAAAACCTTGCAGTTTTACCAGTATTGTGAAGGGCAATAAATTAATTACTGAACACAAGGATTTACTTCAACATTGGAGAAACTACACACAGCAACTAGATAGAGGTTCTAACAATGTTGAATGAAGACAATATAGACGCCTTGGTAGATCTTTTTAATGACATTTAGGGTCCGGTCAAATACTACAAGACTGTGTTCAGTCAACCTTTATACCAATCCAAAAAAGCCAAACGCTAATAGTTGCGACCAATTCCGAATGATCAGCTTATTGAGCCAGGTCCTAAAACTCTTCTTAAAGATAATTCACACAAGAATATATAACAGATGTGAAAGAGACATTAGCCCCACACAGTTCGGTTTCAGACAAGGATTTGGCACAAGAGAAGCATTTTATAGCTTAACTGTTTTACTTCATAAATGCAGAGATCAGCAAAAAGATTTCTTTCTATACTTTACAGATTACCAGAAAGCTTCGATTGTGTTAATCATCATATTTCTCAATCGAAAAAGGTGTACGACAGGGTTGTGTTCTGTCACTGTGCAAGTGACACTGAAGATACAATCAAAATCAACGGACAGACTTTCAATAGATATTAGTAATATACAGAGATACAGAGATATTAGTAATCTTCGCTATGCTGATGATAGCAGTCATAATAGCTGATAGCCAAGAAGCGCTACAATGACTAATAGATAGAATAAACACTGAAGGAGAACGACTGGGCTTGAAGATTAATATAGACAAGACGAAGGTAATGGTGGTTAGTAGAACACGAAATATGCAATTAAATATAAGAGTAAACAATAAGAACATCCAAAAGGTCCCCAAGTTCAGATATCTCGGTAGTTGGATAACTGAAGATCTAGATCCAGACATAGAGATACGTAGCAGGATTGAGCAAGCCAGAACAGCATTTACTAATATGAGAACCTTGCTAAGCAACAGCAGCCTTAACTTAACGCTTCGATATCGCTTTGTAAAATGTTACATTTACTCCATACTGCTATATGGTGTAGAAACCTGGACCATAAAGGCCAATGTGATGAACCGATTGGAGGCCTTTGAAATGTGGGTATTTAGAAGACTACTTAAAATTCCTGGACAGATCACACAACAAATGTCGAAGTATTAAATCGAATGGGCAGAGAACGAGAATTGCTGCCAATAATAAAAAGAAGAAAAACTGCTTATCTGGGTCATATATTTCGAAATTCCAAGTACCAGTTCTTAAAGCTTATTATGGAAGGGAAGATAGAAGGAAAACGGGCATCGGAAGAAAGAAATACTCATGGCTTAAAAACATAAGGGATTGGACAAACCTCGATGCCCATGCACTCTTTAGAGCCACACAAGATCGAGAGGAGTATGCCAGAATTGTCGCCAACGTCCACTAATTAGATAGGGCACCATAAGAAGAAGAATGTCGTTTGTGTAGTTTGGGTTTATCTTTTTTATGTCTTTTGGTTGGTGTTGCATTGAAATTCCCCCCTTCCCAAGCTGAAAGTTCCCCTCTCAAGGCAAAATTTGCTGCTTATAAAGTCTAAACTATACTAAACTAAAGCAATAACAGTATTAAGTGACAGATTAGCTATACAGCAATATCACTGGCGAAATTCGGTTCTGAGGGATATTACCATTGAGAGTTCCAACTACCTAAAATAAACAATGTTTATTTTATCTGTAAAATTTTGGTTTTGACCTGTAGAAATATTTGTTTAATTTATTAAAACTATATAATTTAATAGTACATACTAAAACAGACAGAGATGCTACGAAAAATAAGAAAGACATTTTTGAAATCGGTGCCTCAAAAGTTTTTAAATTCATCATTGCTCGTCCAGCACTAAAAATGTTTTTTTTTTATTTTGTTGGACTGTATAATCTTTATAAAAATCACTAACCCAACTTTAAGTTTAGTTTGTGGGAGTTTTTCTTCTTTTAATATTCTCGATTTTCTTGTTAGCGTTTTCAACCTCGGTTTGCTTTTTAATAATACAGAAGTACCACCGAGTATACACCGAAACTTGTGAGAAAACAACCAATTTGCAGCATTTGAAATTCTAAGAAGTATAATAAACCAGTGTTTGTGAGTGTGGCAACAGTGTGTGTGAGTAGTAACATGTGAAAATTATTTCGATCCAACAAAAAGTCGAGAAATAGTGGTTACAAATAAGAAATATATACACAGAAAGCAGTATCGAGATGGGAAAAAGTACAGAGAATAGAAAATCATGAGTCAGACTTATATGAGCCAACATATATAAATAGTTTAGACAAATTAAAAGTAAGTGTATATTTCAATTTGACAGTTGACAGTGAAAGAAACATCATAAGATCACTAATCTAGCCAGACTAACAAAGGTTACAGCAAAACCTAGCCAGACGTTAGGAAAATAAGAGACGACAAGAATATTCGAAAGGAATCTGGGTCCCATAAGAATAAAAAATGGAGAAATAAAAAGAAGAGTAAACTATGAACTTTAAAAACTTAATGAAGGTAGAAGATATGGTTAGATTTATTAAAGAACGAAGACTGAGATGGCTGGGATACATGGAGAGACAGAAAAAACGATCTACTGATCAAGAAGGTCACCAGACGAAATCCTGGAACCAAAAGACCAAGAGCAAGATCCAAAGAGATGGGAGGACCAAGTCATGAGAAATATTAAAATTCTGAAAGTGGGAAACTGAAGAGAACTCTGTACAAATCGAAATAACTTTACTTAACTTTACTTCACTTAATCAGTAGACCCATTTGTACCTATCAGTGTTAAGCCGTTTATAATAAAATTCATTAAATTACAATATTTTTCATCTTCTAAGGTTTCAATCTTCCTTGCTTCTATCAGTTCTTCACTTACTTGCTTCTTCTTTAGGCTTTCCCATATATATTTTCTTTTGACTGAGTCGAATGTTTTTTCCATGTCTATAAATCTCAGATATATTTCTCTATTTTTCTTTAAAGCTTTTTCTATTACTTATTGCAAGGTGAATATATGGTCTTGTGTTTTGTGTCCTTTTCTGAATCCACTTTGTACGTCCTCTAATTTATGTTCTATTTCTTTTCAGATTTTCTTTCTACTATGGTTTCGTATACTTTTGCTGCTACACATAGTAGTGATATACCTCTATAGTTCTAACAGTCTCTTGTATTTCCTTTCTTGTATATAACTATAATTACTGCATTTGTCCATTCTCTGGGTATTACTTTTCTCTTCCATATTAGGTTATATATGTATAACAATTTTTCTTTTGCTTTTACTCCTATATATTTCATCACTTCTGGTGCTACTTCATCGCTTCCTGGTAATTTTCCAATCTTTATCTTTTTTATTGCTTCTTTCAGTTCTTCTTTTTCTATAGTTTCTGGATTTTCCGTGTTTGTCATGGTTCATTATTTGTTTCAGTTTCGTTTCTTTGTTGCTTTTTAGGTTTTTCAGTGTTCTATAAAATAATTTTACGTTTTCTGTGCTGTTTTCTTCCATTTTATCTCTCAGTTTTTCCCAACTTTTCGTTTTCTCTTTCTTTCAAAATAAGTGAAAGAGAATTGTAACGAAAGCCAAGTCATACAACAGCAGTACACTTTTGAGTACATAGTTTGCATTTAGCAGTACACAAGAAGAATGCAAAGGGATTCACCGCAATAAGTGAAACAGAGAGTTTTAAGCAAGAGCGACAAACCAATCGTATTAATTATTTTTTAAAAAGAAAGTAAAGAAAACGACCTACGTGATCATTTAAATAACTACAAATAATGCAATAATATACAAAAACTTGATAAAAAATAAATGAAAAATCCATCTCTGTAAAACTCCCTACTCTCTCCCACTGATTACGTTACGCTTCACCAAAACGATTTAATGTTCCCTCGGGATATGTCTTATGTTTTCGAAGGAATATTTTTAAACTTAAATTGTACCCTACATATCTCCTGTCACATGTTTTTTACATTTTATTGTTACAAATTGGCCATTTTCTCATTCCGATATAATTTCCTTCAATTCGTTTTTTCAACTGAAC